CTTATGCTGTTTCCAAATAATTCACTGGTATAAATACAACTAATTTCTACCAAATGCTGGAGGGAACTCCAAGGATTCTTAAGATCTTGCAGCACTAGACAGTATTTGAATAAATCATAACTTCTGTCTGGTTGGTCTCCTTATATTGTGCTTATGAAATAAAACTATGATCAGAGAGTGCAGCATTGTACTTTTTAAAAGGAACCTGTCACCACAATTGGTATTTGTCACATCCAAAGACTCTATTCAATGCTAATGGCTCTCTGAAGCAGTTCTGTTTCCAGGATGGGTGCAGGTGATGCTGTAAAGGTCTGCTTCACCCCAGAATTAGCACCACTTCCAATAGCTGGCCAACAGTTATCTCAAACACTGGATAGGAGCCTCAGTAGTTACAGGTAATAGTAGTTATAACATGTTCCCTTTAAATCAAAATGCTACTTTCATTGTCTAGCTAAAGTACCACAATTATTGTTCTATTAGCATTAAAACATACCAGTCTTAGTCTTTTGCCATAATCTCCAAAAATATAAATATATTTATATCTATATATACATATTTCAGTGTATATATACACACATAATATTTTCACATTAAGGGATCAGACAATTTTATAAAAATCATGGTTCAAAAAGTGCCATATTTTGTACACACTCGGCACATTGGTTTGACCCAGAAGATCTGTGATCCTATTGCACTGACTCCTGACGATACATGTGTGGCCTTTGAATAGATACACCAGTATGATCAAAGTGATGGTGGTATCAAGGCCTTCCCTCCACAGGCTGCTTGAGACATAGTTCACTTCCAGACGATACAATGGGTAAAAGATTCTCCAGGTGGTGATTGATAAGATGACCAATGCTATCGAACACACGATCTTTAGTTCTGACCTATAGGAAAAGGATGTGAGAAGTAGACACAGATGACTTTTAAGATATGCTGTATGTCACTAATGTATATTCTACATGATATCTAATATGTGACAAAAATATATAACTGTAATATAAAAATGACCACAAATAATAGCGCTACACTCAAACAATAAATAAATAAATAAATCCACCACCATATATATGAAATATAAAATAACTAAATAAATAGAATCCTCATAGAGTCCATTCAATAAAGTCCACACATCAATAGTGAATATGATCTTCAGTAAATGCAGCTATGAAGTCTTCCATCACCAGTGCATAATCCAGTGCTTAACACCCCATTAAAATGCACACTCACCAGATGCTGGTGAATAACCAGCATATCTTTGTGTATTCAATGATATTCACACGTCTGAGGGTGTGTGACGAAACGTGTTAGGGTGTGGTTTAACCAGTGACGCCATCACGCACGCCGCTTCACGTGTCCGGATCACGTGATCGCAACGACGCCATCTTGGTTGCAGGCAGGCTGGTGAGACGCTACTGTGCTAGCAGAGAGCTCTGAAGTGATGAGAATTGTATTATACAATACTTGTTTTTCACTAAATTAATGTGAGTATGATTTTATGGGGGGACTTTTGGAATAAATTGTTTTCATACGATATTGCACTATGGCGAGTGTTTTTTATCTTGTTCACATGTGATCTATGGAGTATATGGAAATCTCTCAGCTGGAGTGAGCTAAGCTGTAGATTAATATCATTAAATACACAAAGATATGCCGGGTTTTCACCAGCATCTGGTGAGTGTGCATTTTGATGGGGTGTTAAGCACTGGATTATGCACTGGTGATGGAAGACTTCATAGCTGCATTTACTGAAGATCATATTCACTATTGATGTGTGGACTTTATTGAATGGACTCTATGAGGATTCTATTTATCTAGTTATTTTATGTTTCATATATTTGGTGGTGGATTTATTTATTTATTGTTTGAGTGTAGCGCTATTAATTGTGGTCATTTTTATATTACAGTTATATATTTTTTGTCATATATTAGATATTATTTTACAATTAGGTGATAATAGCTGCTCCTATATTATAATATTTATTTTTGTGCATTGCATTGGAATCTAGAGGCGCGATGGTATAAACCTTGGGGTTTGTTGATAACTTGGATTGACAAACACATACCAGGGCTTATTCATATTTTATAGAGTTCTTATATTCTACATGGATTTGAATATGTATTTAAAGTATGAAGGTTCCAAGTCAAAGTGTAATGAACTGTGTAGTGTAAAAGATCTGTGATCATGGAGGAGGTACAATAAAAAATCACTTAGGGGGGCATGTCACAGAAGCTATACACACAAATGTGAATCTCAACATTCTCATTTGCTCCTGTATGCAGGTGTATCCTGTTTCCCCTGGTTACAACTGTCTGTTCCTCTCTTTGTGATGTGTACTGCCACTCTGTCTGTTCCTATCTTTCTGTCTGCAGTTGAATAGGCAAGCAATCCTGTGGGTTCCTATTGCTTGTCCCTCTGAGAGCCATTCACTATCAGTTGGCAATGTTATACAGTTCCCAGACCCTGTACCTGGTCTCCCGTTTGGTTTGGCTTTATGAATGGTGGAGTTGGGTAGAAAGGGCAGGCACAGTCAGGAATCTTGATGAGAGTCCGTGACAGCCCCTTAGTTCTAGTAACCCTTTCCGCACCAAAAAATTATGGCGGCGGGTGGGGGGACAAGGACAGAGGAGGATTTGACCTAACAGAAGAGGCATCAGCAGAAGGGACACAGCCTACTTACTATGTCCATTGTGCTAATTTTTGTGATTTTTTTTTTAATTTTGCCTGCACTTAGGCTTTAATAAGCAGGAATACAGTTGACAAACCTAAGGCTGCAACATTTGACCAAAAGAGACAACACTATTAAGCAGTCATGGAGCTTGAGTCTGCAAAAAGGCCATTCACTTTAGGGCGTATTCATAAAGCAATTAATCTGACTTTCACTAAATATTTACTAGTGGTGAATAAATCACTGTCAATTAAAACACATGCACCAAGAAGATTCACCTTCAGAGAATGTTTGATGAAAGTCAGATTGACTGCTTTATAATATATACCAGTAAGTCAGAGGGCTTCCCAGTGTATTTACAGTTTCTCACACTGCAAAGATCTTTATCTTCTGGTGTTTTGTAAAGTTCAGCTGTGGAATGTTATGTGCTTACATTGTAAGACAAGACATGGAAGGTATCTTGGTGTATGTTAATGGTGTTTCCAACATCTAACAGAACTAATACAGCTCAAGCCCCACCCCTAAACAACAATTACAAACGTTAAAAGTGTAAGCACCTAGGTAGGATGTATGTACAAATATATAAAGGAACTGTCCTTTGCTAGATTAACATTTACAGAACAAGGGACAACACAAAACTTACAAAAATATATGGACACTTACAGTGCCTTCAGGATCTACTAGAAGAAGATGTTTGGCCTGTCCATTGTGCATACCAGTTAGCACATATGAACCAGGGTTATTGATGCTTTTTCTTACAAGGAAATCTCCATCTCTTTTAAGTAGTTTCTCTGCTTCTTTTCTGCACATTTCTCCAACATACCAGGATTCTGATTTCAATTCTTCATTGATGGTTAATATTGCTGCTCTGGATAGCAGTGGGCTGGAGCAGTCAACCGAGGCATCTTTATTTAGCTTCGGTTGATTCTTCAATGCATCTTCAAATGGTTCTGTAGAATGTTTAAAAGCAGAACTTAAAAATGTATTACAAAAAAAGCTTGTATTTTCTAAATAATTATTATTTCACTAATGAATAAAGAATATGGTAAACACAGATAATGACAGTAGAAGGGATGTATCCTGTTCAGCACAGCTCATTACAGGCTCAGTTCAGGAAGGTGTAGAAGTTATGTTATCTCAAATGGCTTTTTAAAGCCATTTTTCTGCTAAATCATGATTTTATCTCAAATATCATTATTTTTATTACTACACAAAATGGTTCCTTTAGTGGAAAACTCAATGAAAAGCACAGTTAACTCCAGCCTGCAGTTACTGATTTTAAAGTAAACTCCAGAGAAAAAATATTGGCACCCTTTCTGTCAGATAATGCACCATTTAGCCCAGAAAATTTGTTGCAATTACAAATGTTTAGGCATTCTTACGTTTATTTCTTTTGTTTGTACTGGTATCACACAAAACAATGGAGAAACGAAAAGCCTAATGCAACACATTCCATGCATATCCACAAAAATGGACTGGACAAAATTATTGGCACCTTCTCAAAATTGTAAGAAAAAATTGCATTCCAAGTTTGTGATGCTCCTGTAATTTGTGATTAAACTCACCTGTATCAATTAACAGATCTTAATGTTCCTGTATCCACAACATTGTCAAGAAGTTTACAGCCCATGTCACTGTAGCTAATCTCCCTGGACATGGAGGAAAAAGAAAAACTTGATGAAATATTGCAATGAAGGATTGTTCAAATGATGGATAAAGAACCTTGAACAACTTCCAGACAAATTCAAGCTGACCTTCAGGCACAGGGTGCAACTGTGAGAGCTCGCACTATATGTCACAATCTGAAGGGATGCTATGGTAGGAGACCCAGGAGGACCCCACTGCTGACACAGAAACATAAAAAAAGCCAGATTGGAGTTTGCCAAAACTTACCTGAAGATGCCAATTCCTTTTGGGAGAATATGCTGTGGACAGATGAAACAAATATACAGCTTTTTTGTAAAGCCCATCATTCTACTGTTTTCAGAAAAAGAAAAAAAAATACAGTCCCTAGAGCTCAACATGATAGAGATTCACTGATGTTTTGGGGTTTCTTTGCTGCTTAAGCGCTGGATGTCTTGACCATGTACATGGCACTATGAAATCTGAAGACTACCAAAGAATTCTGGGGTGCAATGTAGGGCCCAGTGTCAGAAAGGTGGGTCTTCGTCAGAGGTCATGGGTCTTACAGCAGGACAATGACCCAAAGCACACATCGAAAAGCACCCAGAAATGGTTTAAGAAAAAGCACGGGAGAGTATTGAACTGGCCTGCAATGAGTCAAGATCTCAATCCCGTAGAGCAGTGGTATCCAAACTTTCTAAACAAAGGGCTAGTTTACTGTCCTTCAGACTTAAGAAGAGCCGGACTCTTAAGAATAGAAAATGTCATGACTTACATGGAATAAACAATGTCCCATCTTTGGTGTCAGTGGCAGGAATAGAGCCCCATCATTGGGCCCTATTGTTGGTGTCTGAAAAGAATTGTGCCTGTTGGGGAGGAATTGTGACCAGTCATTGGGAATTATTCTGCCCCTTCATTGGTGTCAGAGGGGGGAATTATGCCCCATTGTTGCTATCAGTGGAGAAAAATAGTGCCCCAAGGGCCAGATAAAAGCAAGCAAAGGTCCGCATCTGGCCCCTGGGCCGCAGTTTGGAGACCACTGCCATAGAGCGCCTGTGGAGAGATCTCAAAACAGCAGTTGGGAAAAGGAACCCTTCCAACCTGAGAGACCTGAAGCAGTTGGTGAAAAGTAATCCAAAATTCCAGTAGAGAGGTGTAAGAAACTCATTCATGGTTACAGGAAGCAATTGATTTCATAATTTTTTTTCCAAGGAGCATGCTACCAAATATTAAATTGAGGGTGCTAACAGTTTTGTCCAGTCCATTTTTGGGGTTTTGTGTGGAATGTGTCAGATTTGACTTTTTGTTTCTCTACTTTTAGTGTTATATCAATACAAACAAAAGAAATGAAAATGCCTAAACATTTGTAATTGCAACAATTTTCTGGGTGAAGTGGTGCATTATCTGACAGAAATGCAGGGGTGCCAATATTTTTGGACAAGATTGTAAATACATATTTGAAAATTTTACCTGTTTTACCCAACAAAGGAATTGGAATTCCATACAACCAGTCTTTTTTCTCATATTTTACACCTATTTTTAACACAGCACAACCAAACAGATGACACACATAGATCCTAATTCAGCAACTCGTCTTGCTGAATTAGTAGTTTCCTAAGTCATTTCCAACCTCTGGTCTTATCAGATAGTGAATCAGCATTATCACAACTTTCACTTTGAAAGCTTGTGAATCTTTACCCTTCTGGTGCTGGTCATGTGATCAGTACAAAGGCTATGACCACGTGGTCTCTGTTGAAGGAAATAATCAAAATTCAGACAGAGCCTTGGCCATGAAGTGCAAGTATTAAAAAGTAGGGTTGTTAAAAATAATTTTAAAATTAGACTACAGGTTCATCTTAACCCCCCCCCCCCCCCCCCAAAAAAAAAAAAAAAAATCTTAAGTTAAATTTAAGAAGGATGCCAGATTTTTATAAATTCACCTTATATATAATATTTTACAATTTTTTTAAACTGTTTAATTTTGAAACTCCCTACACCACTTAAAAAGAGGAGTTCTTAAATTGTAAAACATAACCAGTTTTCTCTTTTATTGCATTTTTTTTTCAAATTCTAAATGATTTTTATTACCTTAATGCATTCGCTGCATTAAGGTAAGTAAAAAATTCCCCACTACCTATCCTACCCATTATTCCAGTACTGTCCCAGCTGCAGCACTGCTATTCTCATGTCCTCGCCACAGGTTCCTGCTGCTGTCAGTCAAATTCCTGTGAGGAGGAAGAGGGGGCGTGGCTTACCAGCACTGTGTGCATCTGTAGACATACACAGCTAGGTTTGGGAGCAAGCACACATGGGTGCCTCCATTGTTCCCGTCTTGCTAAGATTGCACCTGGAGGAAGGATGAGTCGGCAGTGCCGATGGGGGACTGCCAAAGAGGAACCATGGCCCGTTTTGTGAATTATCATAAATTGATCAATCTTAATCTGCTGGTGCTTAGATTGTTGGCCTATAAACTGAAAAATCTCTGCACATGGTAAGGCAGAAACATAACCATCACAGCGCCAACCCTCTTTAACTAGTTTATGCTGTTTGGCAAAGTAGTTTAATTAGAAGAAGCTCTTGTTTGATTATGCGAATGGTGTCTTTTCATAGTTTGATCAATTAATATTCTAAAGTTCTGAGCAGGCAGACTGTATTGCTGCATGCATTTCAAAAGTTTTCTTAGTTTTGGATACAGAGAGAAAGGGATAGAACCCCTGTCAGGCTTTACTGACTGGGGCTCCATTACAATTATTTTTCCTCAATTACTGTTTCGGAGACAACATTTTACCAGACAGAAAGTGAAAGAAACTCTCTAACAGCAACACAAACAGAAATAAAAAAGGCATTTTAAGTGGCACTTGGAACCCCTGCTAAATTTGTGCCTTGGCTGCAGATTTGTCCTCACTTCCTATCTGGTAAAACTGTTAAGTTGGCCATACATGGATCAAAATTTGGCCAGTCCCTGCTGAACTGCTGAATTTTAATCCACGTGTTGGCACTATGGTTGTTGTACAGAAGTCAATCTACCAACTTACGTCCGTACAAATGCCCTGTCGGATTTTCCCTACTCAATCGGCAATACAGGCTTTGGCTTGCAATGCTGATCAGTGTATTCTGATGGATCCCCACTGTCAGAATATAATGTTACAGCAGGAAGGATTCCCTCATCCACACTGAATGTGTTGATGGGGGAATTGAGTATTGAGTAATTAGCGAAGAAAAAACCTGACTCATCTATGGGTTGCCTGAATGGGACAGAAGGTTAAGTAACATTTTTCTAACAGAGCCCATCAGCAGTTCTAATCCTTCTCCACTTTAATTTTACTTGTGTCTAGAACATACTGTGACATTACCAAAAGGTATACTTGCAATGCTTACAGACTGAACACTGAGAAACTCACTGCCTAATTTCTAGCAACCCCTAATCTACACAAGAACATTTTCGGTTTCTTACTCATGTCAAACAGATCTTTTCTTGGGCTGAAGTCCTTGCAGCTGTCAACAGATCCAGAGAATGCAGAATCCATACTCCTTTGAAGGACCCCCAGTGCCTTCTTATTGATGTGCTGGGTATTGACATATGTGGGTGCATTGCTTGCCTGGTTTGCTGATGACTTTCTTTCTGGAACACTATAAATGTCTAAAGATGCTAAAATACAATTAAAAGCCGTTTATTAGTATTATAATAATTATAGTTCAGGAAGCCAACGGTTTGCTTTAAAAAATTTGCTTGTTGGATTTTTATGAAATATACAGTAAATAAGCCATGAACACAGTACCAATTAATAGGAAGCAATAAAGTGAGATCATCCAGAACACAGTACGAGTTGGTTTATAATATATATATTCAAGCAGTATTGTATTAGTGTATTTAAAGTTGTAAACTGTCACATATACCCACCAAAAGTGACTACCCTTGGGTGATACACAGAGATGAAACAAAGCCTCCTACATAAGTTGTATACTGCACAGCACAGAGATGAGAGCTAATCTGAGACCTGAGTGAAGGTAATGGACACACACACACTCCTAAACAAATAGAAAAAAACAACAACAGTGAGCGCTAATCCTGAAAGCGGCTAAGCACTCTAAGCAACCAATATATACTTAAATGAAATAACATAAAATTAGTGCAGCGCTAAAAGTAGTGATAATAAGACAGATATAAGTCCACTGAAAGTCTTGGTCATATGGATGTGTCCAGTGACAAATGAGGATTCAGAATTGGTGATCCGTGTGGAAACGGCTGAAAAACGCACTCACCAGAAGTAAGGCACATAAACGCAGTGTGCATCTAGAGCTCATGGATCCTCAATCCAGAGGGGGGGTAAAGCTGGTCCGGTTACAGGAATGGTGGATCCCTCCTCTGTGGATGCAGCAACAGATCCTCCTTTTCCCGATTAGGTGTAGGATTCCAAGATCAAGATTCTGCAAGCAAAAGTTCCTCAGGGGAGTTTTAGGGAAGGACACCCATAGTGTAGTAGGTTATAAAAAGCAGCTTTATTAAAATAATAATATCCAATTCAAAGTAGGCAGGTATCATAAAGATGTGTCAGCAAGACAAACTAACCCTGACACTCTGAATAATGGCCGCCGAGCCTCCACGTGGCTCCGGCGGAGCCTGGACGTCGAGACGCTACGCCGCCGGAGCCACGTGGAGGCCCGGCGGCCATTATTCAGAGTGTCAGGGTTAGTTTGTCTTGCTGACACATCTTTATGATACCTGCCTACTTTGAATTGGATATTATTATTTTAATAAAGCTGCTTTTTATAACCTCCTACACTATGGGTGTCCTTCCCTAAAACTCCCCTGAGGAGCTTTTGCTTGCAGAATCTTGATCTTGGAATCCTATACCTAATCGGGAAAAGGAGGATCTGTTGCTGCATCCACAGAGGAGGGATCCACCATTCCTGTAACCGGACCAGCTTTACCCCCCTCTGGATTGAGGATCCATGAGCTCTAGATGCACACTGCGTTTATGTGCCTTACTTCTGGTGAGTGCGTTTTTCAGCCGTTTCCACACGGATCACCAATTCTGAATCCTCATTTGTCACTGGACACGTCCATATGACCAAGACTTTCAGTGGACTTATATCTGTCTTATTATCACTACTTTTAGCGCTGCACTAATTTTATGTTATTACACTCCTAAACAGTCTCATTAACATGTAGAACTGAGGCTATCAATTACCTTCTGTGTGCTAGAGGGGGAGCAGGGCCATCTCCTGAGATTCTGTGGTGTCAGGATAACCTGAGGAGTTATCCCGACACCACTGTGAGAAGTGACTAATGCAGATATAAGAGGGAAGAACATAAATCACACTTGGTTCTTTGGATTGAGGCTAGTACACACTATAGAGGGATATGCTCGGTTCATTTTTCATTTCAAAGGTTTACAATTGAAATTGTAATAAAGTATTAACGTATTACAAAGGCAAAACTTTTTTTTAGTTTTGAACAGAGTGTATTGTTTTGGAGTCCCCCTCTCTATTTGTCCTGTTTACCATTACCATTGAAAGTAAAAGTTAAAAAAAAAAATCCCAAATTTTGTGTCGTCTCCAGAAAAGTAAGAGAGGGAAATCTTTTAATGTGGACACTAGTTCTTGGACCCTGGGTGCCCAAAGGGATTCCTCCAAAACAATACACTCTGTTCAAAACTGAAAAAAAACGTTTTGCCTTTTGTAATACGTTTGTAGTGATTCCTCCTCTCACTTTCTCTTTTGGCTATAGGCCAGGAAGTGAAGGGAAATCTCCCCAATGGTACACAGATGTAAAAAAAAACTGAAAGGGATTATAACCCTCCCCTACTTTATCCAAAATTAAAAATGTTTTGCTTATCGTTCTACTTTAAACTGTACCTGCCTTTCAAGATTAATTTCAAGTATAGTATATAGTGAGAATATTGTTTACATATTTATGGACATTTTAAAATATTTTCAGTACCGTATGTTATATTTGTACTGTATGCAGAAAGTTAGTAGTGCAAAGTGGAAGTAAGGACTAACTATAAGTGGTGCTAAAAACATTCCTTCTCTCCTCCTACCTATGCTCAATATAAAAGAGATCAGTGGAAATATCTTTACTTTCATCCACTCTGGTGCTATCATATAATTGAGAATCCCAGTCTCTCCTGTGTCATGGAGTGCTTCACATCTCCCATGTAAGCGGGTGGTGTGGGGTGCCCTGGCACAGAATTGAATGGCCTGTTAGTGTTCTGCCAAGAATCCCTTCATGGAGATTTGGACTTACTGTGACTGCATATTGACCTCAAGTTGCGACCACTTAGTTCACAGTGCTCTAAAGTGTGGATATTAACCTGCACTATCAGTAGCATATGAGCACAGGAGCGTTTAAGTGGCAGCATTAGAAACAGGAACCATGCTGCAAAGAGGGACAGGAAAAGGAGATAAGACCAGGCAACAAGATTGTGCACCCTATCACAGGAAGATACTGGATGAAAACAGACCAGATTTGAAGTGGCACTGCAGACCATACCAGAGCACACTGGAAAGTGGAGCAGACAAATAACACCTGGAATGCTGGCCAGGAATAAGGAGAGATGGCAGACAAGCAAATCAAAGAGAGCTGAGGTCAGTACATGGAAGACCTTCCAAAGAAGAAATAGTTGGGAAACAAGCACATAGGGAAGGAGCTCAGATGCAAGCAGAAGGTTTGCTTGGGTGCTGAACATGTGGAGGCTAATTCTGTAAATATGTGTGGTCCCTTTAAGAGATGTGCACCTATAATGTCATTTGACAGGATACCACAGGAGAGTCCCAAAAGCACTGCTGGTCGAAAAAAGAGAGGGAATTCCAAACGTAAATTCTGCACTGGGGAAATCTGTATCAAAATAAAGCTGCCACACTCAATTTGTGATACTAAATCTAGGTTTTTAACTGCCTGGTTTGAAACTCATTTACCTTAGGTGGTATTATGATTTTATCTGTAGGTGAACTTTACATTGGAATAAAGATGTTTTAATATACTACACTATGGTCTGGACCTATTGCCTTTTTGTTCAGTGCCGGTCATACATGATGCCAATGGATGAGCTGCGATCCTGAGAGCCTTTGGGAATATACATTCAAAGCGCTGTTAACCATTTTAACTCTGAATGTTCCATGATACTCATTAAGAGGCTTGCAGCTTTACTTTCTAATGTGGTGCTGGCTCTCATTTGGAGGTTGATAGGAACACTGGATGGTGAAGGTCTTGATACAAGTGTTTCGGCACTTAATAGCGCACTTGATCATTTGTGTTTGAATGGTCCATTTTTATTTGGTAAGAGGCTTACATTACCTTTGTTTGCATGTTGAAGTAAGTATTCCAGTACTGGAAGAAAAGCTCAATGGGAAGATTTATATTGCTTTGGACTGAGATATTTGTTTTTTTTTATATTGGAATATTGTCATTGATTTGTGCCACTATTGCAGTTTTTTTTTATATTTTATGAATTGCTTTGTGTATGAAATGTTTACCACAATTGAACTTTAAATAAGGTATATCAATTTATATCTATTGTGTGATCAGCACTTTACATTTAGCTTTTTTGCACATTAGAGGTATAGAGGTCATTTAGTAGTACACTGGTAATTCATAGAGAAAAAGAGGGAGCCTGGTGGTGTCTCAATGTGGAAGGTAAGTGACAGCCTAATCTTACAACTGCTAGTAATGGAGGCTAGATAGGCCCTACAGAAGTCACAAAACAGCAATATAACATGTGGAAAAGGTTTTCATATTTCTGTACTCTATGGTAATGCAGGTTGGGAAGTTCCCTAAAGCCATTTTGTCCTTTGACACAAGGGCTCCATCAGTCAGCTGATCGCCCATGGCACCAAAGAAAATTTGACAAAGTGGACAAGGTCAAAATAGCACAGCAAGAAGAAGAGTTGTAAAAAAACTAATTTTGTGATTTTTTTATGATTCATTTTTGTGATTAAATATAAATAGAAGAATACTGTATAATGTCAAATACAGGTGTACCCAGGGGCGGACTGACCATTTGGAAACTCGGGCACTGCCAGAGGGCCCGGGGTCAATAGGGGGCCCCATGAGATGCCCCTGGTACCTTTTTCATAGGCTTTTTTGAGTTTGGGCAAGAACACAGGGGCCCCATGATCCTCTATTGCCTGTCAGTCCGCCCCTGGGTGTACCATGAATTAAAAGTTATCCCTCCATTATATTAATCTGCTGCAGCTTCATTCACATGTTATAGATTAGCTTTAAAATAAGATTTTCAATAAATTCTTCAAATGAAAATAAGGCCCAGCCTTAAGAAAGAAAACATTAGCACATATTAATGTTACAGCCACTGGCCCTGTACCAGGCTTACCCATACTCCTTACCTTGCCTTTTTACAGCTTGTTGAAAGGCTTCATTAGGTTTTTCAACTAGATGACGACCTTGGTAATATGTCTGTTCTTTTCCAGAAGAGGTCAAAAGCTAATTCAGAAACAAAAGACTTCCTGTGAGTTTTCATCTTGTCTAATCTTGTCTAATGTTAACAAAAAAGCTGATTGTTTAAGCCTGCCTGGATCTGTGTGTGGGAGCTTGTATAAAGAAGCAGACATAACACAGAAATATCAAACAGAGACAAGTGAATAATCTAAAGTTCTACTTAATTTTTTTAATTGTTTTTAATGCTGCATTCTTATTATTGCATACTCCCTGCCCATACAATGCCATCCCAGGACACCATGCATACAAAAGTAGATATTGGTAAAGTAAGAGGGATACCTTTTATGCAGATGCTAGCTGGTATGTAATTGACACTTCAGAAATACAGTAGCTCCTGGTGTACCAGGTGAGTTCAAGGAACAGTGCCCTTGGAATGGCCAGAGGTTTTGTAAGTGTTCACATACTCTATATACCCACTGAGCACAAACCAGCCCATTCAAGTAAGGCCTTAAACCCACTAAATCAAATGGCTCATCTAATATCCATTTCATATCACCCTAGATATGGCACCTAAACAGTAAAAATCTGATCAATATGTTTGCATTGTTTTGCCATTTAGTATGCTACAGCCGGCTGAATCTTCAGAACTTCAAAAAGTCCTGTTTTTCTTCGCGGCTTAAAGGTTCAGCCAAAACTAATTTGACATTTGAGTTTTGAAGGTAGCCCCCAGTGGATGGAAGCATCTCAATAGATTCTTATCTGAGAATATACTTCCCCCCATTTGTTACTGACACCCCCACCTAGAAGCTTCATACCTCCTGCTACCCGCCTGCCTAAAGGCCTAGGCATTTGGTCACATAAGTTATGATGAAGGGGAGAATCAGTCACTCTGAAATCCTATCTTACATTTCCACAGAAATCACCAAACACCTAAGCCACAACTACAGGGAGCCTGTATCAGGGTGTTTTACATGAAAGGTATGTTTCTCAGCACTTCTATTTTCTTTTTCTTATCCATCCCAGCAAGATTGTTAACATTTGATTATAGGTTTACTTTGGGTTTTCACTATATATGCAAAATCTGATGGCCATATAATCCTATGTGTTTACTGTTGGCAAGGTCACTCAGTGCACCACTAGCAATAATCAGGCAGTGTAGGAGTTCAGAAACAAGTGACAATAAGAATGTTCACATGTAACAAATATCTGCATCATCATTTGCAGAGAATATTCTGCATGCAGGGCAATCAGTGTAACCAAGGAAGCAAGGGGTGCCAAAATGTTACTTTAGATGAAAATGGAGATCAGAGATGACTAAGTCTATGGGCAGATTTCTCAAATTTTCTAAAATGGTCAAGTCTAAGTGCCTTTGTCCACCATCTGAAATAAATGAACCAGAACACTTATGGGCAGTGTTCCAGTCCTGGTTATGGAGATTTCCTTGTAGATGGCAATGCAAGGGTGTAGAACTATTTTTTTATTTAGGCTTGTTCTTTAATATTTACAAAATGATAAAGGGCAACTTGGGCAACTGTGCATTTGCTCCCAAGTAATACTGTCAGGTCTCCCAAAGTATTTCACATCTAACCCAGAAATAATCTATATACATAGATAAAAATTGAAATTTGATTAATTGGTAAATACCTTCTTTTCCACTAATTAAAAGCTGCTGGTAAGCATGACATGCTTAACGCCAAACCTGATTATATTATTGAAGGGAAAGCCAATACACTTCTGTAAGAAATCATTAGAACCCAATGGGCTAGAAAACGAAACTGAATTCAAAAAAAGTTAATGTATACCTGATTATTGTCTCCTTGGTTTGTGTTCTGAGCCTTTAACCTCTCATCAATAATACCTCCTGGAGGGGGCAATTTGTTTGGAATACTGTTATAATATTGAGGTTCTGCTGTTGTCCCATCCTCTTCTGTCCATAATGGGTCATCTAAACTTTGCATTCTTTAAAATAAACAGAACATTATTGCTGTATAAGTATCCACAGATGTTCTACTATATACTGTATTTTTCTCTAAGCTTCACAGCCGGGTGCCCACTGTGCATGCGCGAGTAGTGCTGCACTTTGTGAATGGCCCTGTAGTCGTCTGGGACCTGTCATGTGTCCCAGAAGACTACAGGGAGGGAGGACAACTTCCACTTCCGATCGCCTTAGGCGATTGCAGCGGAATTGGGAGCAGGTACCTGTCAAATTTGGGGTCCCGCTCCCCAAAGGTGCCAATCTTTTAACAGGGAGCTTGGGACAATCCTATAACCTCCTTAGCGGTATTCCCGAGTGTAGCTCGGGGTAAAATTTGAGTAACAAGAGCGGTAACCCCGAGCTACACTCGGGCTTACCATGCGGCGTTGCTCAGGGAGTCCCTGCAGCACTTACCTTGTCCTTCACTCCCGCGATGTGTCCCCTGCAGCGTCCCCGGCCATCTCCTCCGGCCGATGCCGGCATCCGGCTTCCGTGTTCCGGTCCCTGTGATGTCGGGACGTACGGGCGCCGGAACCGGCGGCAAATTTGAAATTTTTAAAAAATGTCATTTTTGCTGTCATTGCTGTTTCAATGCATTTCACATATATTTTGTCCCTACTGCTTTGTCCTGTGCCCTGCGTGAATTTTAACTGTTCTTTCTGCCTGGAAACTTAGAAAAGTCCATGGCATCCAAAAAGCGTCCCTTTATGTCAAAAGCGGTTTTAGAACAGCGATAGTAAATCAGAACCACTTGCAGAATTGAGTGATAATGATTCGTGGGGAAATTCGTCATCAGACACTGAAAACGATTTTGCGACTTTGCTCAGCGATGTGCAAATTTGCCTCTGTACTTAAAATTTCAATGTTTTTGGTTTGATTATATTATTGAATTAAATTTATTATTATATTATTATTTTTTATGATTATTTATTAAATTATAATTTCGTGTTTCAAGTTTTATCATACCCGGGATGTTTACTAGACTCTTGTTCGTACAGATTTCAGTGAGTTATTTCTAAAAATTACAGCCTACAATAAAAAACTACATATTTCCATGCAAAAAAATGGTACCGCTTTCAGCACAAAAAATCGGAAAGAATCATACCGCCAAGGAGGTTAAAACAGAACTTCCCCTTTTGGGTGGATCTCCGCTTTAACTCCCCAGCCCCAGCAAAAAGATAACAGAGGAAGGAAAGCTACGTAGGATTTTTCAGTCCTGGAGTTTACAGAAAAGATCATTTTAAAAAGATAATTAGTAATTGTTTTAAATATTTCTTAATGGTTGCTCCAAAGAACCAAATAGAGGGCACCCTCCCAGGCTGGTCACATGGTCATGTTTCAGATCTAGCCAATCAGCAATGCTACATGATACCACAACATTGGTAACCTGATCTGACAAAAGAGGAAGCCCAGTTTAGGTCTTTTAAGCAACAGGTAATGTATTTATTATGGAACTTTCAATGTGTTTATTAAAGTAACACAAAGGTGAGATACAATAGTCGGATCGCCCCTTCCCCATGACCTGTGAACATATTTCTTTGCACTGGTCAACCAAAGCGCCAATATAAACAAACCATATTTCCTGATCTATTGAATACTACAAAACCAGTCCTTTAGTTGTACTGGAAAACTTCTTCCATCCCCTCAGTCAAATGGGGGCTCACAAATAGTAGACCACACAAGGCTGTTGGATGAGCTCTTCAACGCCTTGAAAAACATTCCACTGAAACACCAGAAAATCTGGAATGACTTTTAAAACTCCAATGCATTCATTATTGTGATAGCACCCCTCCCTTTGTTACAATGATTAAAAAATGAATTACACATTATAGGTCAATATTGTACCTGTCAGGAAATGCTGGTATCTTAGATGGGCACTGCAGATACTGCTTAAAGCGTAGTTCAAAAGCTTGGCCTATCGTGCTGATGACATCTTGCGCCAGCCCATCACTGCATTCCAGTATATGACAAGCTAGGGTAAAAGAGATAAATAAAGAGTGAAGTTCCTGTTTATATATATATATATATATATATATATATATATATAAAATGTAAATGTGCAAGGCTATTGTTTATGAGACTTACCTCGACGATTAACAGGATCTTTTGCTACATATGCAACGTAATCTGTTGCATCCTAAGCAAAGAACACAAAATAAGTTTTACAATTAAAGTATGCATTTAGTACAAATAATATGTAATTCAGATTCACATCAATAGAAAAGAAATGCATTTGATATTTGAGTATTGCTTGAATATAATTTAGTATTGCAAATCAATAAATTGCAACCATAGGCAGTGCCCAGAAGGTGGCAGTGTTCACACAAATAAAGAAACCTGATAATTTGTATTGTACATTCCTTGTTTCCTGTTTTCATTTTCTATAAGGGTCCTTTCACACAAGTTCCATCATGAAAACTGATAAAAAAAACACATTGGGGGGGATTTACTAAAACTGGAGCATGCAAAATCTGGTGCAGATATGCCTAGAAACCAATCAGCTTCCAGGTTTTATTGTCAAAGCTTAATTGAACAAGCTGAAGTTAGAATCTGATTGGCCACCATGCACAGCTGTACCAGATTCTGATTGCTTTAGTTTTAGTAAATCCCTTCTCATCAGTTTGAACATCCATCTTCAGTTCAGTTTACATTAGTATACATCTATTTATTACATGTCTGGTCTTTTTTAGTTGTTACGGAAAATAGCCATTAGCGATGAGCCAAACCCACCCCCCTCGTTTGGTTCGCTGTCGAATATTTGAACCTAACAAAAGTTTGACCGAAACCAGAGGGGACAATTCACTAAACGGTATCCTACCATATCTGCGTATGCAGTAAGATACCGCACAGTATCTAAAATTCTGTATAAATTATATTATTAAGTCATGCAGTATTTTAGTAGTGAAACCTTCTTTAATGTTTCAGCTGTCAGCGGGCTTCCCCACTGACAGCTGAATGTAAAAAGAATTGCCCTTCGGGTCTGGTATGGAACCTCCACACCAAATTTTTTTTACAAATGGCGTGGGGGTCCCCCAGAAAATCTATACCAGACCCTTATCCGAGCATGCAGCCCGGCAGGTCAGGAAAAGGGGGGGATAAGCGAGCGCCCCCCCCTTACTCCTGAACCATACCAAGCCACATGCTCTCAACATGGGGGGGTGCTTTGGGCAGGGGGGTTCCCCCCCAAAGCACCTTATCCCCATGTTGATGAGGACAAGGGCCTCTTACCCAAAACTGGTGGTTGTGGGGGTCTGCAGGTGGGGCTTATCAGACCCCCAGATCCCGCCCTCCCATGTGAATGAGTATGGGGTACATGGTACTGTTACTAATTCACAAAAAAAAAGTGTAGTGTAAAAAATTACAGTAGACAGTGTTTGACAAGTTCTTTATCAAAAACAAAAATAGTCAAAAAACAAAAACAAATAAAAAAAAGTCCCCCGAAGTAGATCCAACATCAATTATGATGCCCGCCCCCACCGGCGTCCCAACAAAAGAAAAAAAAACACTCCGCTCTCTGCGCTGGCTCCCACTGTCTGACAGCCGCGCCGGGATCACAGTTCTTAAATACTGTGATGACGCCACAATGGGTGGAGTCACCCGCCCCCTTGTGACATCCCACCCCCTTGTGATGTCCCACCCCCTTGTGACATCATCATGAACTGTGATTGGCCAAAGCATTGCACCTGACCTGCATTGCTTGTACCTATCACAATGCACTGTCATTGTGGGGCGCGGCGGGCGAATAGTCCGCCAAACACCCTTACCGTTCGTGTGTTTGCCGAACTTATGTTCGACTTGAACATCATGCCTACCACTAATAGTCATATAGGTGGAAAAAAATAAAAAAAGGGAATGGTTCTGGCCTAAAAAGGGACATAAACATAACGGGCATAAACAATGTCTGTTAACATCCATTTATGTCACCAAAAAACAGAAATGAACGCAGATTGTTTCTGGCTTTTTTTTTCTGCAGACATAAACTGATTTGTAAGGATGTCCATTTAAATCTGCCCACCCATAGGCTTACATTGTGGTTCAGTCTGCATCTCTCTGAAAAGTAGACAGATCCAGACTGAATGCTTGTATGAAAGGGCCCTAAGAATTAAAAGCTGATGTTTTGATCAGAAAAAATGGTAACTAGCTATGAGCAAAATGACAGGCAAATCTGATGAGGCAGCAAAATGAAAATGTTTTGATTACCCTGAATATAGTCATTTACAGTCTTTGAAGACCTAAAAGAGATATATGGCCAAAGCTTTTGTGGTTATACTTGTGGGTTACCAGAGTGCATCTACTTTTGCTCACCTGCGACCCAGAATCAGCTGATAGTGAACTGTTGCCGGGCAGAGAGTCTTAAAGGATCCCGATGATAATGTAGGGATCTACCCAGCTGCCAGATTGACAGCACACAGCTAAGAGCTCAAGCCAGCTGCACCCACCCCTTTCCCCGCCCAACTCCAGTGAAAAATGAAAAATGAGCAGTGTGTCTTGGCAAAATACATACATAAAACAGGAGCATTTACAAAGCGTATCCAAGGTGAACACAGCATGAGTAACCATAAATGTAAGCTGGTCATATAAACCTTTACACAATCATTTAAAAAATATAAAAATTTTCTGTACCAAGAAAATTGTATGTTTGCAAAATACATTTACAGTGACGCTGGATGATAATAATAAGAATCTCCCAGGTACAAGAAATTGTGTGCATATTGTTTGACATCTTCTTGCTGTCCTAAAGCCCAACTCTGGGCAGAAGAAAAAAATCCCTCTGCGTTGGGGTGCAACACTTAACTGATTTCTCACTCTGGCATGCTCCCTCCATGTGTGTGTACAGCCCCCTGAACCCCCTCTCTAAGGCATTCTGGTCCTTACCATCTCATACAATGCAGGACTAAATAGTTTTGCATTGTTTCTGATGATGCAGAGGGACCACCCACAGCCTGTAGCAACAGGGACTAAAGGAAAGCACCAGAACCTGCTAGAGCATAGAATAAGGTACGTAATACAGCCTCTTCTTCTACCCCGAAGATTTCAAGCCCAACCCCAGGAATTACACAAAAATGTAATTCTTGTAGTCTCTAGTGAATAAGGAATAAGTTGTAATACTCACCTTACCTCTTCATTCAAGCCGGCTTCCTCCTTCTGTGTAACTGATCCCCCAAACCCTCTTCCATAAAGGGTTTCAGATCACAATTGCATGATGGCATTCAAGTACAATGCAAGACCCTGCATTCTCCATGAGGACAGCAAGGGAACGCCCACAAGCCCAGGTGAGGGGTATGGTAAAGTGATAGTAAAGTAATTTTTGGTACTTTTATCTACAGCACCGGTGTCAAACTGGTGACCCTCCATCTGTTGCCAAACTACAAGTCCCATGAGGCATTGCAAGATTGACAGTTACAAGCATGACTCCCAAAGGCAGAGGCATGATGGGACTTGTAGTTTCACAACAGTTGGAGGGCCGCCAGTTCGACACCCCTGACCTACAGGTAAGCTTCTAATAAAGCTTACCTGTAAGTAAAATTAATATCTCCTACATGTGCTCCATTTAGGATATATTCCATGAAGCAGCAGCAGGTGACATCACCGGCATATGCTCTCTGAAGGAACCTCACACCATGCCGTTCCTACAGAGGTCTGTGCCATGAACCGTGACGTTCATGGGTTGGCCAGTCAGATGGCCGGAGCCCACAAACCTGTAAGGAACACCAGGTGAAGATGGAAGCTCTGCCAGCAGTGACAGCGTGCCACTGGAGGGCTTTGTTTTAAGTTAAGTCTCTCATAATGTGCTAGTATGTGATGCATACTAGCACATTATAGCATTGCCTTACAAGGTGAACCTGTCAAAATTCAATTCGATTCAACTTGAGCATATGAAGTCAAAATTCATAACCAGAGGTTACGTTCAATGAAAGCATTTTGTGAAAACAGTCAGTAAATTCACACACGTAGGCAACTTAAGTTAAACACAAACCTTAACTTTTTCTAAAAAGTCAAGCTTGGCCTCCCTTTTCTAATTTTCATATTTTCTATTGATCATTGAGGCCATCTATCACATTAAAGAGTCAGTTTGAGGTTTGGGTAGGTGGGAGGGACTGGCCAAGGTCAACTTAATATAGGAAAATTTGAGAGTTGCATCTAATATTTCAGTAATTCAACTGCCTATACCCTGGTTTTGCCTTGTGGTTTCTCTACCTATGTATTTTTTTCTTCTGCTCAGTTGTTCGAAAATTCTAAAGGTGTGTTAACAAGAAAGGAAAACAGACAAAGATCATCCTTGCAATAAAAATAGCTAAAAAAATTCCAGTCCCGCTGACCAAATTTCTGATATCATCGACACCAGTGCTTACTAATGATTAAATCTTTTTCTTGTCAGGATACCAAATACCAAAAAAGCATTACTTACTGGGTCGCCGCCAGATGCAAAAGAAATGGATTGCATATGATGATTTGCTATGATCTGCATTTGGATTAAAAGAAAGTAAAATGCAATTAATTTGATGTAAATGTTGATCGCTGTTATCAGTTTTTTTTTAGATGTCATCTCAGGAATACATGTGTGTTAATTACTGATTGACTAACAGAGACAATATGAAACTTGCCATACCAGTAGTCTCTGGAAAGTCCAGTTTTCTGTATCTCTGAAGAGACCAGGGGCGGACTGACCATTTGGAAACTCGGGCACTGCCCGAGGGCCCGGGGTCAATAGGGGGGCCCCATGAGATGCCCCTGGTACCTTTTTCATAGGCTTTTTTGAGTTTGGCCAAGGACACAGGGGCCCCATGATCCCCTATTGCCCGGGGGCCCCATAGGTTGTCAGTCTGCCCCTGGAAGAGACCTTATCTGGTTTTTATCCGACATGATAGCCACTACCAAAGTAACATAACCTCTAGCTGCTAATTAGAATGAATCTATCACTGGTCAGATTACAATATAAGTTATTGTTGTTACTTGTTGGTTATAGGGCTGCAACAGAATTAAAGCATATCTATGATCAAAATGTAAAGTCATATATTCATTTCCACATATATTTCCAATATTTCTAGGCTATACCTCTTATTCTGCATAATCCTAAAGTTTGTGAAGACCCCATACCTGGGGTCACGTGAATTCTGTGACACATACCCACTATGCCCTGTGAGAAGGCACCACTGTGTCACACATTTCACAGAGCCTGCCTTCTGACTACAGAGGTGCTGAGAGGAGGAGTTTCAGGAGTCGGAGTCAGTACAGGAATCACTTCTTGCAGGCAGCATGGTACCATGGGATATGTAGTTTTTAGATATTGAAAGTTAACAGCAGAGAAGAAGCTGCAAAGCATTCAGGGAATCCAGGAAATTGTGAAAAGTGATGGCCAGCAGACAGGAAGATTTCACAACATGAAAGGTGATTCCTCAAGCAAGCTTTTATTGAAATATCAATATTAATTATTGTTTGTGTTGCTATTACAATGCTGAAGTTATAAAATTAAAGTGTATGCTGTGATCATAGATTTATAAACCAGACTCCAGTGCAAATTTTGTTTCAGGTGCTAAAGTGACTCCATTACCACAGAGTAACTTGCAAATGAAGTCTTATTTTTGTGGCAGCCAGTGTCTTCAAACCTTGCCACTTTGCTTCTCCCTGGTTGCAGCAAGCATCACACATATTCGAGTATGTGAGTACTCCTCCCACTGTAGGCTGTATTTCCTCTGGCTGACTTATACATCACTACAGGACATCCAAATATGCATGGGGAACCACAACATGTAGTTTGGGAGCAAGTTGTTGACACACCTGGAAGTGTCAAATATACCTGCAAGTGGGTTTTGAAGGCAGATGCTGCTGAAAAAAAAGTAATTATTCGCAATTTTTCCTTTACACTCCAGGCTCCTTTGTCAAATGACCCTGTGGTAACAGATTGACTTTAAATAAAGTGGGGATGGGATAGGAATAATGTTTTTATTTATATGGGAAGAAGCAGGGAAACCAATTTTTTTCGACTCTAGAGCACAGACGTCAACCTGGAGGCCCTCCAGCTGTTGCCAAAGTACAATTCCCATGAGGCATTGCAAGATTGACAGTTACAAGCATTATTCCCAAAGGCAGAGGCATGATGGGACTTGTAGTTTCGCAACAGATGGAGGGCCGCCAGTTTGACAACCCTTCTCTAGAGCTACATAAGGGTTCTCAGCGAGTTAGGTGCTGGAACCCCATCTTGCTTTCACATAGACCTGGATACTGCTCAGTTCTAGGGTAGATAAGAAGCAGTAGGCATGCTTTACGATGCTAATACTATTCAAGTGGTGTGAGGCAATGAGCTTCTTCTTCAATTATTGCCTAACTTTCAGCACTGAAACATGCATAATGCACTAACCATTTCCTCTTCACCCATCTGAACTGGATGTGAAGCTGGTGCTTACTGTGTAGGCTCAGTTGTACATTATGAACCATGAGGGAATTCAGGGTATCTATCTGGATCTATTCTATCTATCTATCTATCTGTCTATCTATCTATCTATCTATCTATCTATCTATCTATCTATCTATCTATCACACACAGCGAATAAAGCCAACCATAGATAGGTCGAAATTCTGCCGGTTCAGCAGGAACTGGCCAAATTTCAATCCATCTATGGGCTGGCTGGTTAAACGAAAGAAAATTAATGATGTATGGCCTGGCTAAGTGTCTGTCCTTGGGCAGCAGTGGAATGGTCTTCTTGCACAGTGATACTTTGGTAGTGTTCACTATTGACAACAAGAATGAAGGGTAGAGGGGTAGGACAATACAGACAGAATAAATTCTACCTAACATAGATTATAACCTTTTCCTATTTTGCTAGAAAAAAAAGGTGTTATTGTTGCTGTCTCTATACCGATAAGTGAGTATTATCACCACTTTCTTTTCTTCCAGCACCCTGTCAGGGAGTCCCTTTTGAGCACATTTAAAAAATCATAGGAGGTTCTGGCCCTTTTTCAGCTTTGGCTGGGGCTAGGCATATCAGATGCCTGGTTCACTGCTGTACTTTTGTTCCGTCTTATAACTTCTACATACGTTTTAACAACTTTAGTTCAAAAAGGTATTACCCCTTTATGATCAGGCCATTTTTTGCTATTTAGCACTGCGCTACTGGTAATTGCACTTTCATGCAACGCTATACTCAAACAAAATGTATATATTTTTTTTTCACACAAATAGAGCTTTCTTTTGGTGGTATTTGATCACCACTGGGCTTTTTTTAAAATTATTATATAAATAAAGACCAACAATTTTGAAAAAATGTTTACTTTCTGCTATTAAACATATCCAATACAAAATGTAAAAAATTAAATTTCTTCATAAATTCAGGCCATAATGTATTCTGCTACATGTCTTTGGCAAAAAAAATCCCAATAAGTGTATATTAATTGAAAGTTATAGCATCTACAAACTATGGTATATACTGGATTTTTTTTTATTTATTTATTTATTTTACACTGGTAATGTTGTGATCAGCGACATATAGTGGGACTGTGATAGTGCATCAGGCAAACTGACATCACCAGTGACACTAATACAGTGATCAGTGATAGGATTGTACCGATACAGAGCACTTGCAAAAGTACTCGTACTCATGCAAATGCTCCTGATACCAAAACCAATACCTTTGTGGTTCAATTTAAGCTCATACATGATGAATGGGCTCAAATTACACTACAAACAATTGCATGCAATTTGAACAGGAATGTGGTGAAATTCCTGTCCAAATCACATGCAGTTTCCCGCACATCTCCTGTGTGAACCCAGGCTTGTAATAGTGACTTTGAGCCTGAGTTCACACAGGAGTGGTGCTAGAAACCTCCCTTCATGATGGGTTCCACCAGCTCCGGCTCCCGATCCCATTGTGGACATCAGCAGCCACGGTTTGGGCTCCTCCTGCCTCTCCCATGGCTCTCTGTCCCCCCAACCTCCAGCGATTCCAGCCATCCTCTGGACTCCCTCTTCATCCCCCCTGGTCCAGTTGTACCAGATTGACAATCCCCAACTGTCAGACAATGAAAAGCTGCTTCATAGGCCCAGGGATTTGAAATCTCCACAGCTTTCTCTCCTCGCCTTGCAGTGCTGACAGTACGGGCTAGACGGCTTCTGATATGGTCAGCACCATCCATGTGATGGTGCTGACCAATTAGAATCCCTATAGTCTGTACTGTCAGCATGCAAGGAGACAAAAGAAAGTGGTGGGGATTTCATACAGGCTTCCCATTCACAGTGCATTGTATTCACATAGGGGATGGAGGAAGGAACCACAGTGTGCAGACATAGTCCAGGCATCTCATACACCCAGAAAGTGATAGATGCTGGAGATTTTTTCAGGCAGTGTAGTTCCTCAATATAGAGGGTATCAGCATGCAGGCAGCAGAAGGGGTATTAACCCTTTTTTTGTAGGCATGCCTTTGGTTTGATATGAGAAAATAGTGCGAGAGTCTCTTTAATTTCACCTAGAAAGTAAAATAACCCAGTTTCCTTTCCCTGTCAGAGGAGCCAAGATGGTCACCTTGACCGTTAATGTCTTCCTGTAAAGGCAGCAAATGCGTATACTGATCTCAATCCAGTAATATTCGTTCAGTGCATTTCCTCATTGTGTACATTAACTGAAGACATCGCCATTTGGGGTTTCTGCCTTTTATTCTTTTGCATGACAAATGTGTTTCTAACAGTTGCTCAGGCAACCAATGCCAGCCACAGCCAGCAGCAGCATTTTGCAGATGCTTTTCTTGTTCATTCATTGATTTCTTTTAGTTTAAAAACCCAATGCATACAAGCTTGATTCAGGAAATCAGGGGTCTCTGAAAAGCAGAGCACATTCGAGTATTATCTAAATAACCATGAAGATAAAAGAACTGCCATTAATCATTATATCAACATTACCATTCATGGTTTTGAACATACCGTATGTGACACCTACATTTTTATATAATTTTTTATATATTTATTATGAAAATGAATTTCTGGCTCCTACAAAGTATTTAAAATCAATCAATGTTTTACTCTCTACTTACATCAAAAACAATAATAGCACCATCATAAAACACTAGTAGAAATAGATGTCATATTGGAGCTCTTCATCAGGAGGCAAAATATAAAAATGAAGATTCCAGTTGAAAATGATTGGTATGGGGGATAGGTAATTTGTGTCCAGAGTAACAGTTAGATTATTAAAAAAAAAAAAACTTTGGGCGTTCTCTAAATTATACACAGACATGAAATTCCTGTCACTTACTACTTGCTTTTGATACATGTAAATTAGTATGTCTGCCCTACACTTGTGGTGTGTGTTTGGTGCAATGGTCACAAAAGCTTTGGGAAACCATACGTGGATACAGGATTCTTTGACCAATTTTTGAATTTCTGCTATTCTCCGTCATTAGATTTATTTTTCAATTTCACAGTCCATGTGCTAACAGATGTATTCAATAAAAGGT